TATATATATATATATATATATATATATATATATATATAGCAGTCTGTTCTTGTCTATCTATTTATCTCAGTTTTTACTAATCTTTATATCTGCTCATTTCTATTAAGTTTGTCTGTCTATTAAGTCTTTTTACTACCTTTCTATTTTCATATACATGTTTACATTTCTCTCTCTCTCTCTCTCTCTCTCTCTCTCTGTATATATTATATATATATATATATTATATATACATATATATATATATGTCACTCTGTTCTTATCTATCTATCTATCTATCTATCTATCTATCTATCTATCTATCTATCTACGTTGCAGTAAGAAAGAACAAACGGGCACTTTCATAAGAAGAAAAAGGTGTTGACACCCGAATAGAATCAACCTTGAACTATCCAATAAATTCATGCATTCGACAACTTACCTCATTCCCAAAAAAGAAAATACAAATGCGCGTAAAACCTGGTTTGTTTGTTTTTCTTTCTTTTTCTTTTTTTTTTTTTTTTTTTATTTTTTTCTTGATAAGTTGACAATTGAATACATGCATTTATTGTCGGTCTTTTTTGACAAGATCAATCTTAGAGATACATTTTAAACGGCCCATCTGAATTTCTTTTTTAATAAGAACAGTATCTGAATTTCTGTAAACTTTGAAATTTAATTGAAAGTTCCTTTTCAATGATCATTAAAAATCCGTCGATAAAATATGAATATCTGAATTTCGTTTTTTAAAAGATTTATATTTCAGTTGCTTCTTTAAAAAATCAATATATATTTTTTAATCATAACCAAGCAAGGCAATAATTCCACCAAGATGCAATGGATTACAAAGGATGAAAGGAATGAGAAGGCTTTGCTGAGATAAATTGAAGGAAGGACAATAAAGGAAGTGGATTGAGGAAGACAAAAGATGTTAATTTATGTTTCATTTAAATTTCTAAGGACTGCATATTGGCTATGAATGAGAAATCGGAGATCCGAGTTCGAATTCCAATCGAGTTCGTTAGATTCACTATTTACATTATTTCGGACTATTGTCCTCATCTTTGTCGCCATATTAATCAAAACGTTTCGGCCGTGGTAAATTCTCGCCTTCTTCAGTTTGGTTGGAATGTCGAACTGCACCCTTTATTTGGGGTAGACTGTTCTAGTCCCACGTGCCATGTCTAATGGATGTCATTTATCTCCTGTTAATTCCCCTCTCAAAGTTCTCCACTGCCTTAACCAGGTATTGAGCTCACACTCTTTGGGTCTTGTCACTGGATCTAACCAACGCCTTTATCCACAGAGCCATGTGTTTTTGATGAGATCTGGGTATTATAAACCTAATGTCTTCAGCAACCAGTAATAATGAGTGCCAGAGAAAAGCGATGATAACAACAAAAATTGTAGTATGAGCGCTGGTAAAAAACATGAAGATAACAGCAAAAATTGCAATATGAACACTGATAAAAAATAGTCGCTGAAGACTTTAGTTTTATAATACCCAGAAATTCATACACATATGAGCGAAATAAAGGGTTTATTTCGACATTCCAACCACCTGAAGAAGGCCGGAGTGTACAACGGCCGAAACGTTTTGATAAACATAGCGACAAATATGAGGACAAATGTTCGAATAATGTAAATAATGTACATAATACCTCATCTCAGAAATATAGACAGATACTGAAAGGCCGAAATGTTGTGATAAATATGGCGACAGAGATGAGGACAATAGTCCGAATAATGTAAATAATGTACATAATACCTCATCTCAGAAATATAGACAGATATCGTTAGATTCACTTACGCGCAAATAATCTATAAATCCATTTCTTCTCCTAAAGTTATGGATTAAATATCAGGAGAGACTGTGTCTTATAGCCTTAGTTGGCAACCAGTTTACAGCAGAAAGCAATGGCAGTCTACTGAGGAAAAATTTTCTGCCTGGTCAGTCATGAATGGAAAAAGTCATGATCACTCAAGCGTCTGTTACGAATGGCAATGACTGACCGATGTGTCAGGGAAGCGAATAATCGGAGAGGAGTTCCACAGTCGAGAAGTGCGAAAAAAAGCAAGTATTACAATAGAACACGTAATTATATCTATCTAGTTCAAGAGTAAAACGGTGAGATCTACTTGCCAATCTAGTAGCAGACTTAAATTCATGTAGTCTAGACAGAAAGGAAAAAAAAAACATGTCAGAACATTTTCCATAAAAAATATTTTTAGACAGAGAGAAGGCACATCAAGCTGCTGAGAATGTGACGGATGTCGAGATGACAGATCAGGATCGATTACCTTACAGACCATTCTTTCAATTTTGTCAAAGAATCTCCAGATATACAGCAAGTTCGCCAAACCAGTTATGGCAGCAGCATTCACTACACGAATGGCAGATTTATAAATATGCAAGATGGATTCATCATCAAAACTGTTTCGATTCGAGCTGATGAATTAAAATGTTCTCTCATCTTCAGTAACTAAGTCGACAATATTTTGCCAGCCTCATCTGTCCACCGCGAGTTTGCGGATTCGTTGTAGATCTTCCTTGATTGTAAACTTCTCCAAAAAGAAACATGGGATCTTTCTGCCTTGTTCTTTGAATATCTCCATTGAGCGTTGTGACTATGGTGGTTCATGGATGACCTCTGAACTTTTTAAAGTCAGTCTTTTCAAAGTAAACCTCCACGGCTTTGTTAGCTGGGCATTCTGGATACATTCGTAAAATAATCTGAATATTGTCTTTCTCAGTATGAAACGTCTTAAATAAGTAGATACTGAATAGCAGTAACTCAAGCAGCCATTATATATATATATATATATATATAGTATTTACTCAACTGTTTTTTAATTCCGATGTTCTCACATTTGATGGAAAGACTTTCTAGTCACTCAAAGTGACGTCATACGGAGTTCAAGTTACGGCAGAGTTCGCTGCATTTAGTTCTGTACAACCGCCATGTGAAAAGGCATGAAACCACCGTTTCTTAAACTCCTAATAATCATCAAAACTGTTTTGATTTGAGGCCATGAATTAACATGAAGAGATATTTTCCAGACTTCTCTGTCCTCTGCGAGTTTGTGGATTCATTGTAGATCTTCCTTGATTGTAAACCTCTCCAAAGAAAAAGTGGGATCTTTCTGCCTTGTTCTTTAAATGTCTCCATTCAGCGTTGTGACTATGGTGGTTCTTGGATGACCTCAGAACTTTTGGAAGTCAGTCTTTTCAAAGTAAAACTCCATGGCTTTCTTAGGTGGGCATTCTGAATCCATTCGTAAAATATGTCCAAGAAGTTTCCATCTTGCTATCAAAAAGATCCCAACGTTGAAAATTCAAAAGCATTTTCCGAATCTTTCACAGTATGCAACGCCTTAAATAAGTAAATACTGCGTAGCAGTAACTGGAGCAGCCATTGCCTACTCACCTAATATATATATATATATATATATATATATATATATATATATATATATATATATATATATATATATTACTCAACTGTTTTTTAATTCCGATGTTCCCATATTTTATGGAAACACTTTCAAGTCCTCAAAGTGACGTCATACGGAGTTCAAGCTACGGCAGAGTTCGCTGCGTTTTTCTTTTTGTTGCACAACCGTCATGTGAAAAGGCATGAAACCACCATTTCTTAAACCCGTAATAGAAATCAAAACTGTTTCGATTTGAGTCCATGAATTGATATTTTTCCAGACTTCTCTGTCATCTGCGTGTTTACGGATTTGTTGCAGATCTTCTTTCATTGTAAACTACTTCAAAAGGAAAAGGGGGATCTTTCTGCCCTGTTCTTTGAATGTCTCGATCCAGCGTTGTTATATGGTGGTTCATGGATGACCTCTGACCTTTTAAAAGTCAGTCTTTTCAAAGTAAAACACCATGGCTTTGTTAGGTGGGCATTCTGTATCCATTTGTAAAATATGTCCAGGAAATTTTCGTATTGATTTAAAAAAAGATCCTGGCGATGGAAATTTAATAGCATTTTCCAAATATTGTCTTTCTCAGTATGCAACGTCTTGAATAAGTAGTTACTGCGTAGCAGTAATAGGAGCATCCATTACCTACTCCGCCAAAGACCTACTCCGTCAAGGTTCTACTCCATCAAAGACCTACTCCGCCAAAATGGATTGTGATGAGAAATTCTTTTTTTTTCTGGCAATACACAGTGAACCAACTTTCCTAGCAGTAGAGCTGGCAATTGATTAGATATAGTCGCTTCATGTCATGACAATGTAACACCTGAGACCAAGAAGGCATAGAGTCTTACTCTCATGGAGTCTATAATCAAACTTACTGATGGCAGACAAAAAACGTCCTCTACAGAAATTGACTAAAAGCAGATGTTTTTTTGAGGCATTAAGATTTACGAACCGTTTCATGCCTCGAGCTCTTTTCGAAAGCAGTTACAAGGTTTACTTTGTCGGATTTTTTCCGACTTGCTACTAAACCTGGTGAAAATAGTGTTTTCCTCTGTATGGATGTAGTTTTCAAACTGAATTTCCTAAGTTTAAAATCTATATTTTAATAGCTTCTTTAAAAAAAAAATTACAGTACGTGCATGATTTTTTTAAAATTCGATATCAGAATTTCTTACATTTAAAGATCTATATTTTAATGGCATCTTTAACAATCGATGTGGATGGAATTTTCAAAATCTCAATATCAATAGTTCCTATTTTTAAAGATGTATATTTTAATGGATTCTTTAAATACTTAGTACGTTGATGGAGTTTCCAAAATTTCAATATCAGTAATTCCTATTTTTAAAGATCTATATTTTAATGGGTTCATTACGTGGATTGAGTTTTCAAAATTTCAATATCATTATTTCCTATTTTTAAAGATCTATATTTTCTGGGTTCTTTAAAAAAAATCAGTTTGTGGATGGAGTTTTCAAAATTTCAATAAAATAATTTTTTGTTTCTAAAGATCTATATTTTAATGGCTTATTTAAAAAATTAAAATCGGGGTGGAGTTTTCAAAATTTCATTACAAAAATATCCTATTTTTTAAAAAAATCATTATTTTTAATAGATTCTTTAAAAAATCTGTACGTGGATTGAGTTTTCAAAATTTCAATATCATTATGTCCTATTTTTAAAGATCTATATTTTAATGGTTCCTTTAAAAAATCAGTTTGTGGATGGAGTTTTCAAAATTTCAGTAAAAGAATTTTCTATTTTTAAAGATCTATATTTTAATGGCTTATTCAAAAAGTTAAAATCGGAGTAGAGTTTTCCAAATTTCATTACAAAAATATCCTATTTTTAAAAATCATTATTTTTAATGCATCGATATTTTAATGGCTTATTTAAAAAATCAATATGTGTGATGGATTTTTCAAAATTTCAATATCTGAATTACTTATTTTTAAAAATCTATATTTTAGTGCATTCTTCAAAAAAAAACATTTTGTGGATGGAGTTTTCAAAATTCCGATAAAAGTATTTCCTATTTTTAAAGAGCTATATTTTAATCGATTCATCAAAAAATCAGTTTCCGGATGCAGTTTTCAAAATTTCAATAACAAAATTACTATTTTTAAAGATCTATATTTTAATGACTTCTTTAATAAAATCAATGAGTAAGGTTTTTTTTGTAAAAGAAGATATATATTTTATTTCTATTTAAATGTTCAATATCTGATTTTTTTTAAAGTAGATTATCCGAAATATTTCTTAAAACGTTTATATCCAAATTTCGTTTTTAAAATAGGAATTGCTTTCATTTAAATTATAAGTTTGATTCTTTTTTAAATGTAAACATCCGAATGTTTGAGAAGTGCAATATCTTAAAGAATCTTTTAATTTAATTTAAAAAAAACTACACCCTTATGCAACTTATTTCAAACAACCGCTTTAGTTTAGTTTCTTTCACCATTCGGTTAGTTTTAGACCCACCAGTGTGACAGGGTGTAATCAATAATTATTTTTCTTCAGATTAGGTCATTTACAATGTTGTGCAGCAATATTAATTTATTTTCAAGGTGTATGATGAAATTTGTTTAGCCTTGAAAAATATTGCGTCATCCATGGTTGAATCAGATTTTTATCACGCCCAGACACTATTGTCTCGACTGTCGATTAGTTGTCTTACGACCATTGTCTCTGATGGACATTACTCCAAAGTCGTGTACAAAAATTGTAACGTTGCACGAACACACTTGCAAGCCCTACCAGTGAGCAAATACAATTGATATAGACTCGCTCGTAAGAATCTGCGGTCAATTTGCAAGAAACGATTTCGTGGAATGGACATACGAAGTACTAACGTGTGCACTGGGTCATGTTTCATTGGAAAAATACGAAAGAAAAGTAAGTAATAACTGAATTATTCGTATTGTTTTAATTAATTTCCACAAGGGTGTATTTTTGAAATGATAAAAACATTATTCTCTGAATATCATAATTTGAAAGATTTTTTTATTTTATTTTATTTTAAAGATCTATATTTTAATTTAATTTTTAACAGATCAATGTGTGAATTTATTTTAATTTAAACATAGACAAGAACAATGAAAGGTAATAATAACCAGACATTCGCAAGAAAGATAAATTACCAAGTTAGGCAGAGTCTACGCCATAACAGTAAAGTAAAAGAAAATTCTGTACGTAGAATTGGAATGTAGATAAAAGGCCTTATTTAATATATCACCTATAATATAAAACAAAATGTGAAAGTAAATATTTCTTCATACAAATCTTGCGTGCTTTTCCTTTCTATATATGAATGTATCTATATACCTATCTATGAGTTTTTATCCGCTATCTATCAGACGCTTCATATCTATGTATATATCTAATATCTACCTAAATATGAAGAAATCATCTATCTATCTATCTATCTATCTATCTATCTATTTATCTATCTATCTATCTATCTATCTATCTCTTTCCCTCTGTCTCTCAGTCTCTTCATATCTATGTATATAACTACTATCTGCCTACGGATAGATGTGTTTATTAAGAGATTATCTATCTATCTATCTATCTATCTATCTATCTATCTATCCCATCTGTTCTATCTATCTATCTATCTATCTATCTATCTATCTATCTATCTATCTATCTATCCCTGGTTTTTCATTATCTATCTATCTATCTATCTATCTATCTATCTATCTATCTATCTATCTTTTTTTCCTCTATCTCTCAGTCTCTTTATATCAATATAGATATCTACTATTTGCCTACGGATAGATGTGTTTATTAAGAGACTTTCTATCTATCTATCTATCTATCTATCTATCTATCTATCTGCCAGTATGAAGAGATTATCTATCTATCTATCTATCTATCTATCTATCTATCTCTTTCTATCTCTCCCTCTCCAGTCTCTTCATATCTATGTATATATCTACTATCTACCTACTGATAGATGTGTTTATTAAGAGACTATCTATCTATCTATCTATCTATCTATCTATCTATCTATCTATCTGCCAGTATGAAGAGATTATGTATGTATGTATGTATGTATCTATCTATCTATCTATCTGTCTATAAGTTTTTCTCTAGTTATCTGTCGTTTTCATATCTTACTATATATCTACTAAATAAAATTGGGAAAATATTTGCAGATATGGCCAGGTAAACAGAAAAAAATAGTCGTATTGTAAAATTTTCAACCTTGCTGTTAAAAGGAGGAAAACGCGATTGAAACGGAAAAGCAAAGAGCAAAAAATCGCTTTAAGTCAAGCGACAGAATTACCGTCAGAGAAGTCAGTCTAAATGGCGTTCATATCCCGTCATGCTTCGCGACGCATCTTCTGCTAATCACGTTTTTCACCCGAGAAGGCATTACGCACACACACACGCACACATATATATATATTATTTTTATATATTGACGGTAAATATAATAAAAATAAAAGCCAGTTATAAGATTTGACCTCACGAAACCCAGTGGCAAACATTATGCTGAGGTATTCAACATGCTAGAACAGTTTACAGGGATACACTATTTGCCGCTGACAAATGGTCAAGAGGGCGTTGAACCGTAAAGATACACGTGGACATGCAGAGAAAAAGACGATGAATAAGGTGAGGCCGGTGTGGGTTGTCAATGGTCACAGTTTTCTGATCTCTAGATTTTTTTTTCGCTCTCTCTCTCTCTCTTTCTATTTTTTGGGATTTACGGTCAGGGATTATTTGTTTTTTCTAGTGTGGACAGTTATGGCCATTTCGACGAATGGATATTTTATCTCTCTGTTTAACTATCGGTGCATCTCCACACACACACGCGCGCACATATAGAGACACTCGCACATAATACACACGTACACAGATATAGAGACACACACAGATACACGTACACGCGCATGCGCATATTTCGGTCGTTTTACGCATATTGGCTGAGGTAGTGAGTTCGATATTCAGCTGAATGCGCCAACAGCTGTGACCGACGCAATCATTTTCACTCCAACCGGATTAACTAGATAATTAGACGACGATAGATAAGATAGATAGATATGAAAAAAAGATGACTGAGATAGATGAATAGATAGATAGATATGAACAGTCTGATATATTCATATATATATATATATATATATATATATATATATATATATATATATATATAGAGAGAGAGATGAGATAGATAGATAGATAGATATGAACAGACTGAGACATATATATATATATATATATATATATATATATATATATATATATAGGGTTTTTTAAAAATAACGGCTTCTACTGCTATTAATGATTACTCTTCAAGTACGAATTGAGTTCTTCGAGCCACTCTCGTATTCTGTATAGAAAAATAAACGTTAAAATTTCCTTTCTTTCTGACGTGCGACGATAGCCTAGGAGTAGAATCTCTAACTGACATCTGTTCAGTCACGTTTCTATTTCGACTTGAAGCAATCGGACGTCTAGCCACACCGAGGAGCTGTGATACAGCGAATCAGTCTGTCTGTGCATATATATATATATATATATATATATATATATATATATATATATATATATATGGCTAGTTAGCAAGGTCGATTTTACTGATTTTTACTTACTAACTAGACTATCCTTCGTAGCTAAGCTGGTATAGCACGTCAGGCTATATGACGGTTCCGTGTAGGATACAGGTTCAATTTTTGTCAGAGGATGCATATTTTCTATGAAATTTCCTGGATGTTCAGGCCGGTCAGTCAGTCAGTCAGTTCTGTGCCATGCGTGATACACGCTTAGGCCATCATGTATCTTTCGATACATGAGTGACGAGGCAGGGTTTTTTTCTCCGCAGTAGGTTGCCATTTCTTTCTGTGATAGACCGGTTGCTATCTAGTGCTACAGAACCCGGTTTGTCCTGCTATTTACCCATACTAAGGGGAGAGAAGAAGAGGATTCATATCTTTCCCAAAAGTCTATCAGTTATGTGCCATGCGTGATACAAGCTTAGGCGATCTAGTATCTTACGATACATGACTGACGAGGCAGATTTTTTCCCGCAGTACGTTGCCATTTTTTCTGCGGTAGAACGGTTGCAACATAAGGCTATAGAACCCGGTTTGTCTTGCTATTTACCCAAAGCTGGAGGGAGAAGAAGAGGATTCATACCTTTTCCAAGAGTATTAGCACGTAAGTAAATGTAATGGATTCGACTGCAATTCGAACTCGGCTCGCCGATTCCTCAATCCAAGCCGCATTACTCCACCGTGAATCCGCATGCCACTAAATGTTGTTTATACTGTTTGTTATAAACAGAGCATTTACTTAAATTTTTGTGCCTTTATAAATAAAGTATAAGAATAAAATATATCAATTTAATATATATATATATATATATATATATATATATATGAACAGACTGCGATTGAACCATATATAGATAGAACAATAGACAGACTAATACTGATATAAATTATGTCAACGCATGTTTGGTTATACAATGTTGAACATTGGATGGGACACCCAGTAAAAATCGAATTCCCTACGTAATAAGGATTAAACAGACTAACCTTATTAACCATTATTCCACCCCGAGGCACCCTTGGATAAGTCGATAAAAAAATGAAAGCTGAACAAGGAGAGAAGCAATATTTTAATGAAAGAAAGGAATAAAGAATTTAAGAATTTGAAGAAGAAGAGAAAGAAGGAAAGCGCTGAAGAAACAAACAAAAGGAAACCAAAAATTAAAAAAGTTGAAGAAAATTAAGAGACCGAAACAAAGAAGAAGAAAAATGAAAATAAAGAAGAAGAAAAATGAAAATAAAGAAGTTCAATATAAGCGAAAAAGAGGAAAAATGAAAATAAAGAAGAAAAAAAATGAAATAGAGAATAGAAATGACCAAGTAACGAATGAAAAAAAAAAATAAAAATAAAAAATCGAAGAGAAAAAATTTGTATAAAGCGAAGAAGAACAAAGAAAACCACAAAGGATAAAGTTCCAGAAGAGTATACAGAAGAAGAAAATATTGTAGAAGAAATGAAAGAAAAAAACAATTGAAGAAAACAAAGAAGAAAAAATGAAGAATGAAACAAAGAAAAAAAATTAAGAAAACAAAGAAGAAAAATATTAGAAAACAAAGAAAAAAGTTTGCAAAAATTCAACAAAGAGTTAAAAAAAAAAAAAAAAATTCCTGTAGAAGATAAAGAAAAAAAAGCGCTCACCGAATCGAAAATCGTCCTGGCGAAACTCTTCCTTCGGCCTATCGACCATAATTCGCGCCACTCTTCACTTCTACTGATCCCGTAAATAAGATGGGTCAGCGAAGGTCATATAGCTGACAACCGACGATCCACGATATCTTAGGCCGACTGTGTAAGTCAATGTCACCGTGTTTAATGCTAGTGTTACTGAGTTTCTATGGATCGATGGTCGGGTTAAAAAATTCAGACCAGCAGTCAATGAACCGGATTTTCAGCTGGCATAATACTTATCGGCGCGCGAATGATAAATCGGCGAGCCGAGTTCAATTTCTGGCCTAGTCTGTGGCGTACACATCATACTAATGCCGCTAAAAAAGCCACGGATCTATTACGTTTCATCTCAGCTATGGGTTAAATAGCGCCATAATCTAGGGCTACCTAAACTTTCTTGCAGACCAGTTTTGGAGAAAGATATCTCTGAATCCCAAATCGTGAAAAAAGCAACTTTGCTATTTTTCCAAAGGAATCATGGCAATTTATAAATAATAAAGGAAATGAAGACGTGAAGAGACATAATCGCTTACGTCTTCAAGGGTGAAAAACAGGTTTGAATTCAGAACCAGGAGGAAGCACTTGATTGTCCCAAAAAGTCATGGTAACAAAAAGATGAGGAAAAGGAAGCTATGGAGAGACATGATCGCTTATGAACATGTTTCGCTCCTTTGTATTTGGCATAGTGCATCTTAAATGCCTCAACTGGTGGAACTCGGTAAGGTGAGAGACTTGCGACGCTACGTCTGCAGGGAAAGAGGTACGAGGGTGGAAAATGATTCATCACCTACAGGGCCGCGTAAACGTTTTGGAACTCGGTCGAGGCTGGAAAGAGAGGATTGGGCAGCGTCATTCCCAGTAAAAATCGATCCTGCAAGATTCGCTCAGTGTCTTCCTGGTAACTTTCTTGCAAGTAGCAATTGCTGTTTGGAGCCGAAAATCGCCTGTTATGAATCAAAAATTACTAGCTATCCGGCTCATCGTGACACGAACTGGCAGAATCCTGAATGTCAATTGTCTCTCAATAATTTTGTATATACGATTCCCACACGATGATCGGGCGAAAATAAAAAAAAAAAAAATTAGTAAATGACCTGTATATCCCGACGTATAAGGCGACCTGTAGATAAGACGAGAGCCAAAATCTAGGCAAACATTGTTGATTTTATCTTATATCCATAGTATAAGACGACAGATAGCGTAAGCTAGCCAACGTCACCATTAGCAGTAAGGTCTACCATAATGATTCCTACGAGTATGAAATAAAGCTGATGTTATTACACATATTATTTTGCTTACTTTATCGTTATCAAATCAAAAGGAATAAAATATTATTCAGGGAGCGATGGATAAATTGTCGTCTAAATGACGCCAAAGTAGAAATAACGCTGACATCTCATTTTAACAGATATACAGGGTGCGATGGATAAATTGTTGTCCAAATGACGCCAAAATGAAAATAACACTGACATCTCATTTTAACAGCTATACAGGTTGACCCCCAAAAATGGGAATTTTTGAAGGGCGTATTGCCAGACATTATTTTTTTGAGCAAGTAAACATTTCGCCATTTAGAATTCAAGATGAAATTCACAGTATCCCAGCTGAGATATTGCAGCAGTCAATGAGGAATTTCAGCAGCAGATTTCAAGAATGCATTCGTACAGGAGGAAGCCATCTACAGGACGTAATTTTAAAAAAATGAAAATTCCATCATTGTTTCTCAAATGACATATTTTAAGGTTTCAATTACTATGAATAAAATATTTTTCTTCCATCACTCTTGGTTTTATTCGATTGTTAAAAAGTTCCCATTTTTTTGGGTCACTCTATATTTACCAAAATTGCACAAAAAT